ATGATCAGAGGGCTGGAGCACCTCTCCTATGAAGACAGGCTGAGAGAGTTGGGGTTGTTCAGTCTGGAGAAGAGAAGGCTATGGAGGGACCTTATAGTACCCTTCCAATACCTGAAAGGGGCCTGTAAGAAGGCAGGGGAAGAACTGTTCACAAGGGATTGTAGTGACAGGACAAGGGGTAATGGGTTTAAGCTAGAAAAGGGTAGATTTAAGTTGGACATTAGGAGAAAGTTCTTTAATATGGTGGTGGTGGATCACTGGAACAGGTTGCCCAGAGAGGTAGTGGAAGCCCCATCCCTGGAGACTTTCAAGATCAGGCTTGATGGGGCTCTGAGCAGCCTGACCTGGTTAGAGATGTCCCTGCTTCTTGTAGGGGGATTGTACTAGATGACCTTCAGAGGTCCCTTCCAACTCAATGCATTCTATGATTCTATGTCTACAATAAGGAGAGCGAGCTGGAGGCTGCATATTTGAAATGTGCCGTGTTGTAGCTTGTTTTTACATGTGATCTCTACGGTCCCTCTGAACCACAGCCGCAACCTATACCAGAGACCAGAGCTTGAGGGGTGCATGATAACTGCTGACTTTCCTGCTATGGTGCTCCCTTCAGCTTCCTGGAGAGCATCTGATGCTTACTCCCCTCCTTAGAAATACAGTGTTGGGGCATCAGGTGTGCTTTGCCAGGTCTGGCTTCTACATCCTGGCATTTTCTTATCTAAGGAAGCCATAGTACTTTCTTCTCCTTCATGCAAATTTCCAATGAAAGGCATCAAAGAGGCACACATTTACAGAAACTGATGTTTAAATATGCTGAATATAATAATGTACCATAAGGCATGTACATGGAAGTGCAATGCGCAGTGGTTCATACCACAGAGATTAAAAGGTGCAGTATATAACTGAAAATATGGATTAGGAGTTACTCTTCCATGCTTAAAAATGATTTTTAAAATGATGGATATAGCAATGCCTTCCTATAGGCCTCTGTGAATGGCATAAACTTTTTTTTTTTTTTAGTTTGAGGTTATAGTTAAGCCATTTTCACTTGAGACTTAAGCATGTCCATAATAGATGCTCAGGAAGTGTTTGGTGAACACAGACCCGGATGTTTGTGTGCTAAATTGGGGCCTAATTCTGAAGCTTCTACGTAAGTGAATTGTCTTGTTAGGCTTTTTGGAGGTGGTTGATATAGGTAAAATCCACAAAACTAGACCCATTGTATGAGACTTCAGTAATGTATTGACTTTGGTTTTGTCAGTGTCTAGGCCAACTGCAGGCAACTCTATTCTCTACACATCAAGTAAAGCTGTTAAGTCAGATTGCATCTGCTTTTATTTTTTTCCTCACTTGTTATAGTAGGTTTTTATTTTCACTGGGGAGAATGGCACTCTTGTCTGTGTCACCAACAGAAAACAGTCCTGGTTTAATACGATTCTTCTTTTTGTTTCCTTTTGTATCAATAGGGGAGGCTGGAGAAAAGGGGGAGAAAGGTGCTCCAGGTCGCCCAGGCAGAGTTGGGCCTCCAGGAGAAAAAGGTAACTTTCAAAACAACTTCGTTAACAAAGTCATTCCTCACCAAATGCTGCCTTTTTGTGTGAGGCGATGATGATGGGGATCCTCTCTCCATTTGCTGGGTGACTAAATCATCCTTGGGCATTTTCATGTACTGTCGTTGTGTTTTTACCCCATAGGCAGCTCAGCCCCACCCAGCCGCTCGCTCACTCCCTGCAGTGGGATGGGGGAGAGGATTGGAAGGGTGAAAGTGCAAAAATTTGTGGGTTGAAATAAAGACAGTTTAATCGGTAAAGCAAAAGCCATGCGTGCAAGCAAAGCAAACCAAGGAATTCATTCACCGTTTCCCGTCGGCAGGCAGGTGTTCAGCCATCGTCAGGACAGCAGGGCTCCATCACGCATAACAGTGACTTGGGAAGACAAATGCCATCACTCTAAACGACCCCTTCCTCCTTCTTCCCCCAGCTTTTATTGCTGAGCATGATGTCACATGGCATGGAATATCTCTTTGGTCCGTTGGGGTCAGCTGTCCCACCTGTGCCCCCTCCCAGCTTCTTGTGCACCCCCGGCCTCCTCGCTGGTGGGGTGGTGTGAGGAGCAGAAAAGGTCTTGGCATTGTGTAAGCGCTGCTCAGCGATAACTAAAACACCCCTGTGTTATCAGAACGGTTTTCAGCACAAATCCAGAACATAGTCCCATGCCAGCTACTATGAAGAAAATGAACTCTATCCCAGCCAAAACCGGTACAACCGTATACTCATTTATAGACTAACTATTGCTTTCTGATCAAAAAGATTCATTTTGGAAAAAAACCTTTTTGACTTTTTTAGAAAGATCTCTGTGAAAAAAGGCATCATAATATCTCCATAATTTGCCTTCTGCAAATGAAAACTTCATATTAGATCAGAGGGAAAAAATCATGAGGCTCGATTTTGTTTCCTTTTGTTTGTAAATGTGAACACTCACAATACCTTAATTAAAACCATTGAGGGAAGGCAGTAAGCCATAATAGGCAGAGATGGCCGTGAGTGATTCCACGTTTTTTGGATCACAGTTCAGTAGTATTTATGGGAAGATGGGTATGATGCTGTTTGCATCATAGTTCAAAAATATTTGGAGCTCTTGAGAGAAATGGTGCTCAATAGCATTCAGTTATACAGCTGAGAGAAACATGACATTTCTGTCTTGCAGTAAAATTCTGTCTTTTCACATTTGTTTTTCTCCTGAAGCAAGGAGGAAATTTGACCTTCATAAGATTTCCAGGAGATGCACATTCTGAAAAATTCACATTAGGAGTACTCAAACCCTTTTATTTCAATATTGAAATTAAACATTTGACATTCCTGTCATCAGAATGATGGAGTTAGTTAGTTTATACTGAACTGAATTTACAAGCTTCCTTTCAAAGCCATCACGGTGGTAATTTATACTTCCTTATGATGATACACGATCCGTTCTGTAGTTCTTTTGGGCAATTACAGGAGTCTGGTACCTGCAGTTTTCCCTGGGACCAAAATCCATAGCTAAAGCTCTTCCCCCTACAATGCATTGAAAAATTTATAACTCCCATGAGGGGTGTGTGTGTTCAGTCAGTGTATTTCCCTTATGGAGATGTACCCTTCAAGGACGGCTCTTATAAAAAATATTGGAAACTAAAATTTCAACTCTTGCAAGGTAATGCAGCATGACAAGCAGTTAAAGTACTGCAGAATAATTTAGGTTAAAAGGTCATAAAGAGCTCATCTAGTCCAATCCCCTGCTTAAAACAGGGCAGACTTGAAATTTAGATTAGGTTGCTCAGAGTCTTGTCCAGTAGACTTTTGAAAATCTCCAAGGATGGAGATTCTACATCCTTTTTGATCGGTCATCAGTGCAGTCATGAAAGACCTTTTCCATAGGGCCAACTGACATTTTCCTTGTTGTAACTTGTGGTTGTTGCCTCTTGTCCTTTTGCTGTGTGTCTGTGAGAAAAGAAGGCTGTATCTTCTCTGCAAACCACTTGTAGGTAGTAGAAGACTGTAATTAGGTCCCCCCTTACCTTTCTTTACTCCAAGCTAAATCAAACCATCTTCCTCAGCTGGACTCCAGTTTGATTCTCTTGTATGAAGGCCCAGAAGTCTCTGGGTCCTTTTATGCAAAGGATTTTTTTAGCCAGCCATTGCCCAGCCTTCATCAGTGCATCGCAGGTGAGTAACTTAGCATCTACCTGAACTTGTGATATTCCTGTCAACACAGGAGCTTGTTGAGCTCCTCCTGACTGGCAGTGCTGCCCTCCACTGCACCAACCACTCCTGCCAGCATGGGGTTTCTTTCAGACTCACAGAGGATCCTTCAACTTCTTCCTCCTTGTCACTGATGAAGGACTGGTTCCTGAGGAATGACACTCATTATCAGCTGCTGATTAGATTTTGGCAGCCTTGCAACAGCATCTGCTAGCCCTCTGAGCACCCATGAATGCGTTCTGGCCAGTGACATGGACCTGTGTACATCCAGGTGAAGTAGCCCCTGACTCAGTTGTCCTCTACCATGAATAGCATGACATCCCCAAATCTTTGCTGAAGAACTGGGAGGCCAGAGACCAGACCTTGCCAGTAGAGATCAAGGCAAAGAAAGCACTAATTACCTTAGCCTTCCCTGTGTCACTAGGTTGCCTTCCTCCTGAGAAGAGTGCCCATGTTATCCTTGATCTCTTTTTTACTGCTGCATTACCTGTACTGTCTTTCATATTGTCCTTCATATACCTAGCCAAGTTCAACTCCAGATGAATTTTGGCCTTCCTCACTTCATCCCTGCATGCCTGGGGAATACTTCTTTATTACCCTTTGGTAGCCTGCTGCGATATCCACCTCCTGCATGCTTCCTTCTGCATTTGGTCTTGGTCGACAGTTCCCTGTTCAGCTAAGCTGGCCTTCCGCCATATCTGCTCGTTTTCCTGCACATTAAAATGGATAGTTCTTATGCTTTAAGGAAATTGTTCCTTAAGACTGAGAGGCCTTTTCTGGGCCCCTTTGCACTTCATAACGGCCTCCGTTAGTATCCTGCCTATGATTTCCCAGAACAAGCAAGTCCAGAAGTCCAGGGCTTTTATCCTGCTGCTTGCCTTCCTCACTTCCCTCAGAATCCTGAAAGCTGTCGTCTCATGAAGGCACTCATGGTCACTGCAGCCAAAGCTGCTGTTGACGGTCATATCCACAACCAGAAGGTATGTGAATAACAGGTCTAGGAGACTACCATCTTTAGCTGGAAACTGGGTACCTGCATTAGATAATTGTCCCTGCTGTACTTTCTGGATTGATTGCCTCTTATGGTGCTACTGTCCCAGAAGCTGCTGAAGTAACTGGTCTCCAATTATGGACCTTCTTAAAGTTGTGGAAGAGCTCTTCACATCCAGTCCAACTTCTTGATAAGACAGTCTGTAATGAATGCCTACCATGATGTTCCCCTTGCTGGCATCCCCTCTAAATCTGACTTACATGCTTTCAGCAGAGCAGTTGCCTGTTAGGAAGCAAAGCTTCATGCATTCAAGGTGCCTTGCCTTTGCTGCCTGTCCTTCCTGATGAGCCAATATCCATCCGCTGCAGCACTCGTGTTGTTCTGTCAGTCTAATCATACCTGAGTGATTGTTGTCATTAAATGGATTCTCTCTTCCTCCAGTTTGTTTCTCAGGCTGCAATTATTTTTATGCAAATATTTGAGGTGGGCACCTGGTCATACTGCTTTCTCATGGGGAGCCTGAGAGCCTCTCCCATTGCGTTGTCTGGAATGTTTCTCTAGCTTGGTGTTTTGTCAAACCAATTCAAGATGTTTTGGACCATCTGAGAAGTGGAAGTATGCTTTTTCAGGCAGGCCAATCCATGATGTAACATTTCATTTACATATTTTATACTGCAAAATTGCATGTAATTGGAAAATAATTTTCATAAGGAATGCCTGGTTAACTCTAATAATAATGGTAATTTTCCAGTTTTCCGTACCTCTAAAATTCTGATGAGACTGAAAGAAGAAACAGAAGTGAAAATTCACTGAAAGAAAACATACTTGAAACAGAAAAGAGTTGAAAGAAAATTTAGTATTAATGTATACTATATTGGTATTTTTCCAGACAGTGCTTTCAGGTTAAACACATGCAAAATTTTTTACTGCTTCTGTAGAAACATGTTTTTTCCACTTTCTTTTGTGCATCCAAATTTGACTTGACATGTGTATCTTCTTGGAATATTTGGTAAACAGCTTTATTTTAGCATAGTAAGAAATTTCTACAAACAGACTCCTGTTTAAAATTAATTCTAATTAACTAATCTTTTCATTAATGCCATAGATTTTGTAGGTGTTTGTCTCTATCAACTTCTTTCCACACATGCTTCTTCAAAGAGAAATAAATTGTTACCTTAAAAACAATTTGGTCTATATGGTGCCAGATTTCATCATGGTACTATACCCAATGTGTTTTCTGGGTGTCACAGTGTTGACTGGATAAGCAAACATACTTCACACTTGTAATTTCTCCTGTATGGAAAGGGCACAGAAGGATATCCAGCCTTGACCTAGAAAAACCTTTCTGTCTCCTGACCTTTCAGTCTCTGGTTAAGCTCCACAGACAGTGTGTAATGCCTGAAGTTAACTCGAGCATAAGTACTTTTCTAGACTCTCAAGCTGAATGAAATGTGACTCAACTGTATATTCTCTTCCAGCAGTCCAAAGGTTTTCCCATTTGTTATCCAGAAGCTGGAACTGTGAGGCAAAAATAAAATAGAACAAAATTCTTAGGAAAAATCATGTGAGCCACTAACACTGAAATATCTAGCACACTGATGTTTCTTTCATATTTGGTTGTTCATCTTACTCAGGGATGGATAAGAACTGAGCATCATTTGGAGGCTGATAATTTGTTCATGTTGTTCTCAGAAATAACTAGTTCATCACCTTTTTCCTGGACAGATTATCTAATATCTGTTCATGACCTGCTATTGGCTTTGCTTTTTTGCTCTGTTTTTGATCTCTTGATGGGCATACACCACTGATG